CGGCACTCTACCCAGGGGGACAGCTTGAGGCTCTGTCTCAAAAAAAAAAAAAAAAACTGTGCAAGATGGCTCATGGCTCGTGGCACAATAGTTACAGCGCCAGCCACATACACCGAAGTTGGTGGGTTTGAACCCGGCCCAGGCCAGCTAACCAACAGTGACAACTGCAACAAAAAACAGCTAGGCGTGGAGGTGGGAGCCTGTAGTCTCAGCTGCTTGGGAGGCTGAGGCAAGAGAATTGCTAGAGCCCAGGAGTTTGAGGTTGCTGTGAGCTGTGACCCCATAGCACTCTACCAAGGGCAAGATAGTGAGACTCTATTTAAAAAAAAAAAAAACTGCACAAGAGACAAGAATAGAAACTTTTCTCAGGAGCAGAGAACAATGGCCAATAAACACATGAAAAAATGCTCATCATCCCTAATTATCAGAGAAAAGCAAATCAAAACCACTTTCAGATATCACCTAACCCTAGTGAGAATGGCCCACATCAGAAGGTCCCAAAGCAACAGCTGCTGGCATGGGTGCAGAGAAGGGAATGTATTGCTGGTGGGACTGCAAACTTGTATAGCCTCCATGGGAAGAAGTATGGAGATTCTGGAAGGAACTAAAAGTAGACCTACCATTTGACCTTGTAATCCCACTATCAGACATTTACCCAAATGAAAAAATAGGCATTTTACCACAGAAACATGTGCACTTGAATGTTGGCAGCTGCTCAGTTCACCATTGTACAGATGGGGAAACAACCCAAGTGCCCAACAACACATGAATGGATTAATAAATTGTGATGTATGTCTACGATGGAATACTATTCAGCCATAAAAAGATGGAGATGTTGCATCATTTGTGATAACCTGGATGGATGTGGAGAACATTCTCGTAAGTATCACATGATTGGAAAAGCAAACATTGGCTCAGCGCCCATAGCACAGTGGTTATGGCGCCAGCCACATACACCGAGGTTGGCGGGTTCCAACCCAGCCTGGGCCAGCTAAACAACAATAACAACTGCGACAAAAAAAATAGCCAGGCGTTGTGGCAGGCGTCTGTAGTCTCAGCTACTCAGAAGGCTGAGGCAAGAGAATCGCCTAAGCCCAGGAGTTGGAGGTTGCTATGAGCCATGTGGCTCAGAGGAGTAGGGCACTGGTCCCATATGCTGGAAGTAGCAGGTTCAAACCTACCTCCGGC